GTCAGATTACTTCCGGTTCCCCCCCCCCTCTATGAGACTCGCGTCGGCGAGGAGTCGAACAAAGAAATGACCTAGCCCTTCTATTTATCCCTGGGAGCTTAATGAAGTTTCCTCTCGCAAAAGTTCTTTAAAAAAAATTTCGTCAGTATAGACTGTTAAAAACAACTGGATAAAGGATAATTGCCGCTCAAGGAAAGCAATGTATCTGTATGGGAAAAATGGAGCTGCACATTCAAATAAACAACAAAAGGTTCAGAAAGTTAATTTTTTGGTAGTGAAGAACTTAATAACTTCGATTATTTTGGAAGTCGATTTTTTACGCGCAGAACTAAATTTCGAGAATTCTACTTTACAGGTGCAAATACACACCGTTGAAGAAGAAGGAGGAGCCGGAGGTGGATCTCAATCATCTCAAAGAAGAGGAAAGAAAATCTCATAAATTATTGGACCTGGCTTCTGTCAGGTGGTCCAGCACGGATTTGATACTGGAAGTGCTCCTCCAGTTCGGTCTAAGCCGTACAGGTATGACCGTGTGAAAGAATAAATTTTGAAACAGCATATTAAGAAAATGCTCGACAACAAAATAATAGTGCCATATAGCAGCTCCTACGGAAGTCCGGTAGTTTTATGTAGAAAGAAAAACGAACTCCCGTCTTCAAAGAAACTGTCATCTTTTCTTGGCATGTGCTCGTATTACAGTTCTTTATTCAAAACTTTGCTAATATTGTTGAACCTTTGTTAGTGTTAAAAAGGAAGAAATCAAAGTTTGCGTGGACAGCGGAGGCAAACACGGAGTTTGAACAATTGAAAACAGATTTAATTAATGCATTAAATTTACAGAAGGGGACGACAACTTGGAGATTGCGACTGATGCTTCAGATTACGCCGTGGGCGCTGTTTTAATGCAAAAACAGCATCCCCTGGCATTTTTTAGTAAAACTTTAAACACCACACAGCGCATTTATGTAACGACCGAAAGAGAAACATTAGCCAAGTTAATGGCAGCTCAGAAGTTCAGAGTCTATTTCGGAAAAGCTCCCGTTTCTGTATATGCAGACCCTGCGGCCGTAGGTAGACTATATTCGGGAAAAAAATTAACTTTTAGACTAATTAAAGTCACAAGAATACAACTTAATAATTCAGCATACTCCAGGCAAGGAAAATACCGTGGCCGACGCGTTATCAAGAATCAAACTGGATGAAAATGGTGATCAAATAAAATGTACTTTTTGACGCCTAAAGTTTTAGATTCCCTGGAGATGATCATTTCTAAGTTGACAAAGGATCCAGAGCTCCCTAATATCTATGTTTATTTAAAGGATCCAGATAATTTTGAACACGCAGACCTTGCTGCAATTAGAAATAGGGCTCAAAATTACGATATTGTAAGTAATATGCTGCTCTACACTAAATCGACGAATGAAAACATTAAATATAGGCCAGTCATCCCAGCCACACTACGGCTAAGCATTTTGCAGCAACTGCACGATGCAGCAATCGTTGGTTATCTAGGAGTAAGAAAAATGGTGCGTAGAGTACGCGAGGCGGTGTATTTTCAGCATCTGCAGAAAGAAGTGATAGCGTATGTCAGATCGTGTAAATTATGTCAGTTAATTAACGACTTTAATTATAGCTCGGCCGGGTATCTGAATAGTATTCGCGCGACTTATCCTAATGAAATCTTTAGAACAGATCTTCTTGGTCCTTTTCCCCAAAGGGAGTTAAACAAAACCCGATATGTTTTGGTCATTGCTGACCATTTCTCTAAGTGGTTAGAAATAATTTCGTTAAACCTAGCGTCGGCTAAAGTAGTTGTAGATACGTTTTTACATAGGTATACTTTAAAATACGGTGCACCGTTAAAAGTAATAAGTGACAATGGTAGGCAGTTTGTAAGTCAAATTTTCGAAAATTTGTGTAAAGGGCTTGACATACAGTTATTTTAGTTTTATTTGGCGAAAGCACAAAGCTATAGTGTATTATAGAGATGTAATGTTAATGTAAAGAACTAGAAGCTCAGGTCCCGTATAGGCCACAATCAAGCATCGCAGAAGGAGTTAATAAAGACATAATTAAAATAATTAGAAGTTATGTTAAAAATTATCATAGGCGCTGGAATGGTTGCACTGACGAATTAGCATATGCTTTAAGAACTGCCAATTATGATACAACGTGAAAAACGCCCCCTGAATTATTTCTGGGTAAGAAGATTTTGACACCGCTCGATAAATTATTTTTCGTCCAAGAACGGGTGCCTGAATTTAAGCAGGCGAACATTCCAAAGTTAATCGACGAAGCGTTGAAGAATTCAGATGTAGCAAGAGAGCGGCAAAAAGTGTATTATTATAGTAAACGCAGGGAAGAATATTTTAAAGTGGAAGGGATAAGGTCTTTTGACAAGAAGAAAAATGAAATATATTTTTTTTTTTTATTTTCATTCTCTATTGTAGTAAGAGTATTGAATTGTAACATATCTGTTAAGCTAAATGATACTGTAAATGCATGTTTAAATTTCAAAGAATATATAGAATAACGATTTAGTGCGAAAATTCTTGGAATGTGTTTAAAAGTTTATATACTTAAAGGTGAATGTAGTTAAAAGTGAATGTACTTAAAAGTTAATGTATGCAAAAGGAAATTTTGAATTAGGAAAATTTAGCCAAGTCAAATGCGTTTTCGAGCGAAAGCTTGCATGTGTTTAAAGCCCGAATGTGAGGAAAATTTAGTATTGTATGAATGTGTTTCTGTGGGGCTCTCCACCAACACTCTAGTTATTTTTTCATGTGTATTAGCTCATGGAGAATTGAGAATTTGAATTAGGGAGCGTCTAAGAAGGTTTTTATGTGCTAACAATTTGTGTGTTTAGGTGGAGAGTTTGTTCACTCTGACATATACCACTTACGTGTTCACATTGGGGAGAGCCAAATGGGAGATTAAGCTAAATTAAAGCATGAATGTGTATGAGCAAATGTAATCCGTAAAAACTGCAATGTTCAGTAAACTTTAAGAAAACTATATCAAATGTGAGAAGCTTAGAAACTCAATGAAAGTATCAATAGTTGTGAAAATAAAATGTTATTTTTCGTTTGATACGAACATCTACTCATCAGTATTCCTTCCAGATGCTTGAAAGGACAAGACTGAATGCGGTAAATGAGCAACTACAGGGAAGCAAGTCAGCAGAAGCAAAAAGAAGAATGTAATCTGTTATATTGTAGGGACATTAGGTATTTTTTCGGAGGCAGGCAAGATGGAAAATGAGCAATCGCCTGCGACGGGAATCGAACCACGGACCTCTGGAATACCGGCTCAGCGTGCAGAACCACTACACCACGAAGGCACGCTAGAAAGGCGGGAGTAATACCTTATATACTTCCGCTTTTAAAGGGCGACTGGAGTTTTTAGGGGAACCAATCGCCAAATCCTGGGTGCGGAGAATAATCATCCAACCCCCTTTTAGTTTCCTTTTAGTTTAGGCGCCACTGTAGACACATTAGGTAAATTGGAAAAGCCCAAGAGATGAAAAATTATCAACGACTTCACCGAGAATCGATCCACAGACCTCTGGAATACCGTCTCAGTGTGCTGACCACTACACCACGAAGGCACGCTAGGAAGGCGGGAGAACTACTTTATATCCTCCCCCATTTAAAGGGCGACTGGGATTTTTAGGGGACCCAATCGCCAAATCCTGGGTGCGGAAAGTCATCATCTCCAACCCTTTTAGTTCGGGCGCCGCTATTGAGACATTAGGATTTTTTTTGGAAGCAAGAGAGATTGAAAAATTAGCAACGCCTTCGCCGGGAATCGAACTACGGACCTCTTGAATACCGGCCCAGCGTGCATAACCAGTACACCACGAAGGCACGTTGGAAAGAAGGGGAAATACCTTATAATCTAGTAAAAAAAATTTAGATTTTGTATGTAATGGGGTTCAGGGCCTATTTGATGTAGAATATAACAGTTTATAACAGGTCTTTAAGGACCTTTTTACAAGTCTGCTAAATTCTGGCATGGGCAACTGTAGGGATTTCTATTTATTTTAAATAACCAATTTTATTTAATTTGTTATTCTTTCCTATATGCCTTCATTCCCCTAATTATCCGTGCCAGAATATTTAAATTTGGTGGCGCGCGTGAAGAAATGCAAGCTCTACGTTGAAGAAAGAGTTTAAAAACCGAGTTTCAGTAGGAAAGAGGGAGAGTTAGACTATTTCCGTCACCGTCTGCTTCGAGAGTTATTTCTGCTTCGCGTGGCTTAATTGCATTTACCTGCTGCCACTAGTTTTCGGCGGGGGGTTTAATATACAGGAATTATTCTGAGCCCTGCAGTTTAGTTTGATGACTTGTACATATCTTAAATCTTTAGTTAATTCTGATTGATTTAAGTTACCGCTACAGCCCAAGAAGAGGCGTAGTTTGTTAGTGTCAAGTTGGCGCATTGTAAATTTTAAAGAGTTAATAAAAGGTACTTTTGACCCTTCTGCTTCTTATAAGTTACTATTCTTACAGTTCTCACACAGTATTTATCCAGTAGAACTCTACAACTTAACATACTCCCACTTTTAATTTATGGTGGCAGCCAGGCAACTAAAAATTAACGTTTTAAACTTCAGCTCTGAAAATATTCATACAAAATATTCATACAAAATATTCATACCTTGGATCAACTGGATTACTGGATCATCGTTCTTAGATATCTCCAGAGTTTACGAATCGGTCATACAAAAGTTCCTAAAGAGAGTTTTACCTCTGCCAACAATGTACAACCATCTCTACTTGGAAAGAATTTTGTGACTTTGCCTATTGGATAGTTAAGTCTTTTTCGGTTGTCTAGTTCAAATTAGCACTACATAACCCGTCTGGATAATTTGAGCATTTTCTTTTGATTTTTGAACGAGATTTGCCAGATATTCTTTTCGGAATCTATTTCTCAACTGATCTTTTATATTTTGGCATTTAAGGTAACTTTTTCGAAGTTTCTGGGAATTAATTTTCTCTCAATCAGGTATCCCAATTTCTTGGATGTCTTGAATAAAAGATGATGGAGTCAAAGGAATAAATTTATCAGACTCTTCTGAAGTGTATGTAAGCGGTCGATTATTCATAATAGCTTCAACTTCACGTAATATCTTTGAAAGGTCTTCAGCATTGAGCGATGATCTACCAAATGTTCTTAGAAGAAGATTTTTTACACTGCGAATGAGCCGCTTCCACCATCCATCCCACCACGCGGCTGATGGAGGAATGAACTTCCATTTAATGAGAGCTAGGTCTTCAGAAATTTCTGTTTGACTCCAATTTAAAGATTTCAAAAGGTTGTTGGAACTCCGGAAGTTAGTTCCGTTGTCGCTGTAGATTGCTGAAATTCTTCCCGTTCTCGCTATACATCTCCCGAGGGCATGGATGAAACCTTCTGTTGGCAAATTAATCACTAATTGCAGGTGTACGGCTCGATAGACAGCGTATGTGTAAATAACAATCGATACCTTGGATTTGTTCTTTAGAAAGAGAGGACTACATAAATCTATCTCCATGACTCCAAAAACTTTCGAGTCCCTGACTCGGTCAAATGGAAGATGAATGGGCGGAGTGTCAAATCTATTTTTAAGTAAACATTTTACATTTCATAACTTGATAATTCACTTCGGATGTTACGCTTAGTAGAAATAATCCAAAATTTTTTTCGCAGGATGGAACCAACAGTCTGGAGACAAGCATGCCAAATCTTTAAATAGCAGTCTCGTATTAAACAATTTACTACACGATATTTTGATGGCAACAAAATTGGATATTTGAATGAAAATTCGTCATCACGTTCCAAGAACTTGGTTTTCACTCGTTTTATGTTATTTCGATCTTTCACAACAATGAGATCTTTGACAGTATCTGAGACACCACCAAAATTTTCTAACTGAATTCTTGACCAAAGAAATTTCTCTGCCTCTTCCTTTTCTTCGACTCAATGTTCAGATGGAAAAAAGTAATTTTCATTTCTACATTTGGATACGAATCTTTTTATACAATAAATAATATTTATAAATCTGCAAAATTTCGAAATTCTTTCATAATTCATGAATTGATCTACTTTTGCACAGGTAAATACTGATATTGCAGTTTTCTTTCTTTCGGACGTAACTAAATCTTCATTAGGAACCTGTTCCGACTTTTGCCAGTTATTTTCTTCGTCCATTTTGGTCCCTCCCACCATCTCCGGTCAATGGATTTTAGAATTACATCGGTAAAATCCGGTCAATGATTTTAGAAATATAACGTCATGATTATTATATTTTTGACGTGTGTATAACTAATTCAAGGGAAGGGTTCACTTTTTACTTTAAGCTTTCGTAAGAATTTTATTTTCCTTGTAAATTTAAAAATTTTCTGCTTTGTTAGCAATTTTTCTCAGAATGCCAGACACTATAGAGTCAATTTCTACCCCTTAAGTTATCATATGTTACAATAATACCCCTCCTTTTTGGGGGGGAAACTTAATTTGTTATTTGTGCATCTGTTTCCCATTTCGAAAACAGATACCGATAGCAATAAATTAAACTACGAGGCTGTGGCCCAAGAGTTCGAAATTTTAAGCTCAATTTACAGTCTTATCCTTACCCCTCAAATTATTGACAAATAACGATGCGATAAAAACGGATTAATCGAATATTATTTTGAAAGTGGAAGGGCTAAAATCGAGAAATTGGGACAAGATCTCGACTTTGGTAACTAACTACCCTCTTAACATGCATGAGAAAAATCGAAGGAAACCTTTTCAGTTATCTCGACTTTCTCAGAACTAACCAAACTTTCTTCCACGGCTGATAAATTATGCAGCTTATTTCTCATTTTCAAATTCAGCTCTTGAAAGTACTTCTCAAAATGTTTTTCAGCTACAACTTTCTGAGCTGACAAAACCCACAAACTAATCCCAAAACGTGAAATTTCTTTTCAGTCATGATCCTATCAATACGGTGATTGCGGCATTCAAGAAATCGCAGCCCCATCAATCATAATTTCGATGGTAATGCATGTTATTATTATTCCAAATTAAGAGATAAAACAAAATATCTAAAACCGTTGCTGTTTCCAAAATTCTTTAAACTAAATCCCCGTCCATTTCTGGTCGACAGTTGCGATTGCCATACTGATTGTATTTTCTTGCCCACTAACAGTCAAAATTAAAATTTCCTCTTAACACTGGAGTGGGCGCATTAAAGCTCCAGTCGGTCAGACGGGATAGTGTTTAGTGACTGCAGTAACGAAAAGTCTGGATTCGAGGCCCAGAGAAGGAATAAGTTTGGTGTACACACGGTGATCCGAAATCCTCTTGAGAGGTTGTTGGTAGGAGAGGAGGGTTGGGAGAGCTTTATCGTATCCCGAGTGTCCATGAGAATTCTATTCGGGGCGAAAACTTATCGATTAGCAAGGCCCGGTGATACTTCATATGCCTACTTGGATACTCAGGTGTCGACATGCTTATTCACAAAGCCTACAGACCATTTCTTCTGCTGTTTGCTCCGATTGGTTAAAAGAGGAAACGTAGGGTTACAGAATCTAGTGCTTGGCGACATTTGGTTCATCGCCTTTACAATTTGTATCTGAGCGTCGTGTATCAAAAAGTGAGCATAACCCACTGGAGAAACCTCAGCCCAGTAGTAACGAGCGCGGGAATAGTTTTCTCAGACTTCTAGGTCGCTGGTTCTATCTCCGCTCGTAGTTTTCATAAACTCTGCTCTATACGGATTTATGTTAATTTTAACTTTATTGAATGACTTTGTCATTATTTGTCTTTTCGCCTTCGGGAACGGTGTTAAAAATTAAACCTCTCTATTTTTGTTAATGTTAATTTTTCTTATTTTTATTTACTGGTTTGTACTCTTTGTAGTAGGTACCAGTAAGCAAGATTACGATCCAAGATCCCGAAAAGCGTTTCAATAGAAAATATAATTTTAGTTATACTTATAAAAAGAATAGGTATCCGACACCCTTAAATGTTTATTGAATGTTTTCATTTGGTTAATTTCTTAATATTCCTTTATTTGTATAAATTAATGCGCTATGAAAATTTACACAATAGACTCTTCCTAAGTGAAATAACGAAAAAGTGCATATGCTGTCTCCATATAAACACCTTTTCTTGTAAAACAATTACGTACTTTTAAAAGTTTAAATTCAAATACAAATAAACTATTAATAAGATCAGTAGGTTATTTAAGATATATTCCACACAATTCCTCTAGCTTTCATTCATAAACTAAAAAAAAAAAAATTGAATGAAATAAACGCTGTTTCCGTTTGTTTGGCGTTAATTACCTCGCCTGCAGGGCGATAACTCACCATTTCAAATATGACCGCCAAGCACATGTTTCCTCCAATGAGAGCAGCCCGTACCGAAATTGTCTGTAGGCTTTGTGAATATGCTGTCGACATTGCTTCAACTTGTTCCTGTGTCAGTACTCCTAAAATCATTTACTGACACGCCAACGTGACCTCAAAAGTTAACCTTATATACAGTTAATTGATTATCATATACAGTTAATTGAACTCAAATCTTAATTTATGGCACAAAATTGTTATCCATAATCATAACAGAGAAATTTTACTTGGCTTTGCATTATCTCCTCTGTAACACAAAATTTAATCGGTGTTGTTTTCTTGACCCATTTTAGTCTACTCGTAGACATTCGAAATAACTGTCTTATTGTCAGCAAAACCGTTTTAAAGGTGTTCTGATCTTTTTCAGACCACTACACCAATTCACCGTATTATGATCAAATCCCCACCAGGAGCATTTCACTCAATTCCCAACCATTTTGAATCTTGCTTTAAAAACGATAAGCAAAACCCTCTTGTGTTGATAGACCTCAAATAGAAAACCCCCCTCAGCTCCCCCCCCAAAATCTAATGTTTTCCAGCGTTCTTGTAAGTCGCTAAAAAGAATCCGAATCTTTGAAAGCAGAAGGTATTATCCATCCATCTAAGAATCCTTGATCCAGTCTCTTTTTTTGCATAAGGTCCGAAAAGCTAACAGAAACTGGTGCTATCATAGCGACAAACACTGGTTCAACACTAACACAACACCTGACAGATGCCTTTTACTCCCTATACATGAATAATTAAAAGGAAAAATTATTTCTGCCGACTCACACACATCTCAAAATATCTATATTTTAGACGATATTAAAAATTAACTTGCTAATTATTTTACTTTAATAATATGCTCCTCTGCTAGTTACAAACTTTCCCTTTGTATTTATTCATTCATTTTCGGCGCTGTTCGGCTCTTACACTTCTAATGATATCTCACAAAGTAAATAATGTTACAGTTTTTCTTTTTCTGCTGACACCAGTTGTTAGGTTTTTTTTCTTCCTTTACGTTCGTATGGGGTTCGTAGATTTGGAGTGAATAACGACGACACATGATGAAGTATCGAAACACTCTTTATTGGCCAGTATTGTCAGGACAGCTCCAAAACACGTTTTACAGTCGTCGATGAACTATTATAAACACGCTGACACGATCAGCGACACAGCCTTCAGGTTATCAGGCTACCACGGTGGAGACAGCTTCACGGCAAAGCACTAGAATACAGCTCTCAATTCTACTTGGTCGTTCTCGGAACTCCACGTACTCTCGAGACTCTCCACGCTACAACTCGCGATGCACTCGACGATACACAAGAGTATAGCTCTCAACCCAGCACAGTCTAAGACAAAACTCGGCGATGCACTAATTCGCAATGCACTCAGAGACCGACTCGGCGCTAGACTTCGAGACACTCGCTCGATGACTGACTATCAGCTCGCTAGACGAGGCACACACTAACTGACTGCGGACCAGCAGGGTTTATATAGCTTTCGGCTTGTGTTCTAGAACATTCTGGGCTAAACCGGTAAGAATTCGTTCCAGAAGGTTGCCCTTCTTTGCTATTTTATGGCAACCGTAAAACTGCTTTGCTGGGAAGCCATCTCACCGCGCCTTTACATTTCGTAATATTGCCCCCTCCCAAGGACTGCACGTTCCGGGCAGTACAACCCTTGGTCAGAAGCCTAATTCGGTACAAACGTAATGAAACAAACATAAGGTAATAACGCAAACAAATATCATAACTAAAGAAACAAATATTTACACTATGTACAAGTTATACACACAAATTAAACACATAACAATTTTAAATTTTACAGATTAAAGTTCTGAATGAATTTCAGTCTCAGTTTTTTCATTAAAATATACCCGGGTCAAATATTTTTGCTCTGCAGTTCTCAGATGCATTTCTGTTTTGCATATCACAGTCTGAAGATATAGTCCTTTCAGGCTTTTCATCCACAGGAAGATCTGAAGCAGTTTGTTCACCACTCTGTACTTCATTCTCAGCAGGCATACAGTTCATATCGGTATTTTTAGCAGATGGTACATGCTTATATACCTCTATTTCCTGAAAACCAGTTCTGATGTTTGCACCAGGGTCATGAATAGAATACGATCCTTTACAAGCAGAAGTATCTGGGTTTAGAATCAAGTCCTTGTCTGTAAATC